CAGAAAATAATTCTGTCAGATGTAATTTTCAGAGGTAGCACAGCTATTTGGTTCCATTTTAGTGACGTCAGATGTCAGGAGGTCTCTCGGTTTGGGGTTTTTCCACAATTACAAAAGCAACTGTCCATCTTTCTCAGCCTAAAGTAATAATAATAATAATAATTAGGTCAAAGTGCATTCTCTAGCACAATCAAAAAAATCGAGCACTTATCTTTGATGCATGGTCCAGTATTCTTGGCAGCAAGTTTATTGGCAGAAAATTTCTTGGCAGAAAGCCTTAAAATACTTGGAGTTTGTTCCTCAGCAGCATCAGCTGAGCTGGAGAGAACAGTGGTAAGGAGTGCCTCAGCCAGGGGCTTTCACTCTGAGTGAGGAGGGAGGGGGGACGCAGAGGGTTTGGGCAGCTTCTACTCCTTAAATCAGCTAAGCAAGTTGCCAGCTCCCAGTCAGTGTATGGGGTTTTGGTGTGTGCCCAGGGAGGGTGGCATTGCTGTCAGACACAAGCAATTGCTAGAAAATAATCAGCAGGAGCGGGTTAGAAAGAGCAAAAACTGTAGTAGCAAATATTTTCTTTAAAAAGTAAACTGTCCAAAAACACCTATCCCCGTCTCACACTGACACCAGTGAGAAAGTGGGTTCTCACAGGGCATTAGCTCAGCTGTGGCAGGGCTGGGGGTAAGCGCGAAGGCGCACTCTCCCCTCCCAGCTCAACAGGAACTGGGTTTGCTTTCTCTAGCATTTAACGGAAATAGTCAGCCAGCAGCAATGACACCTGTGAACCCCAGCCCTGAAAATCACCATTCCTAGGAGCATGGCAGTGTTTTGTCCACTGGCATAGCATCATTGAGGTCCAGGTGTAGATGAGGAGACAGAGGCACCTCCTGCTGCAGGGAGGTCTCAGCAGCATCAGCGCAGGATGACCAGTTCCCACGGTCATCCTATCCCACCTGGTCAGGATGACCAGATCCCCCCCAGCACAGGGCTGCAGTGCACCATGGTGGCAGTCAGAATCCCTGGCAGCTGCATTTCGCAGTGAAACAAGGTTGGACGGTCACCCCATCTCCCCTCTCTGACCATTACTTCTGTTTATCTTCCTGATGAACTCAGAGCAGGTATAATGTTTCAGTCTGTGCTTTGAAGGGTGAGGAACAGCCTGGGGTTGTTTATGATTTTGGGGCCCCTTGGACTGTTCAGTGGGCTGTCACCTCTGAGACAATCATCCTTCTGTGAATTTGCAAAGGCTCCATGGGAAAAGGAAAGGCTTGTGTGAGGGGTTGAGCTTGGAGATGGGTTACTCTACCATTTCATCCTCTCCCCACCCGGGCAGATGAGCAGCTACAAAAGCCTTCTGAGCAGCCCTTCCCCCTTTTGGAGATGTCTCTGGCTCTGCTGAGCGAGCTGCATGTGGGCAGCCTCCTCGAGCCCTGGCTGCATGTGAACAAAAGCAGTCTATGTTTGCAGGACTGAGCAATGTTTTTGCTCCAGGGAGTCACATTCATGTGCTGCCCGCTATGCCTAGCTGCAGTTTCACAGGCGCTGGAGCCGGCAGCTGGTTTGCAGCACAGCAGCACGCATGCCTCCGACCTGCAGGACATGGGGAACACGTGCCCGAAGAGCACAGTTGCTTGGGCCCTTTCTGGTGCAGCATCACGCCAGGCTGCTGGGCTGGCACTGGGTCCCTCTGAGGAGCCTCTAGCCCCTCTGATGGTAGTGGCAGGTATCCCAGTGCTGCTAGGGAAATTTGTGTACTTAGGAAGCCAGTATCCACCAGGGTCAGACCCAGCTCTGGGACACCTTGCCAAGCTAAAGAAGAATGATTGCTCACCTTAGTGTTAAGTGCCTGCTCTCTGTCCTCCTCTTTTTCCTTCCTTCCTTTCTTTTTTTTTTTTTTTTTTTTTTTAAGATAGTTATATGGCCAAGACAAAAAAAAAGCTTAAAAAAATTGAACCACACATTTTGTTGGCAGAAAATGAAAGAAGTCTCAGCATCATTTTTTCTCATGCCATGAGGGCATAAGCTGCGAGGGGAAGCCTGTAAAGTTTCAGAAAACCAAGTCTGTGATGCTGAGAATCACCTGCTCTTCCTGTCTGTGCTGAGCACCACTTCCTCTCTCCCAACCCACCTGCAGGGTTAAGAGCTGGAGAGGGAGGCTACTGTTCACCCTGAAACCTTTCTGCTGATGTCTGGCATCCAGAGTGAGCTGGGCAAGTCTTGTGATTCCCACCAGCTCCAGAGTAAAATGTTGCCAAACAGATTACGTTTAAGCTCTGACAGTCGGAGTCTTGCACTTTACCTAAAAAAAAAAAAAGAAAAAAAAGAAAATGGGTATCTGATTTTGTAAACATTCTCCCCATTGGGTGCAGATATTCACTCACTTTGGATGCACAGTTCTGAATTTGCCTTAATGAGTTCTCTGCTATTTTTCATCTTCCATTCCAGCATCCATCCCAGAGCTGTCTTCTTATAATTCAAAGCATTTTAAACTGTGAAAAAGGAAAATGCAGGTACCTTTTGGAGATTAAGAAAAAACCAACATCAGTCCGTGGAGATACAAAGACCAAGAGAAAGGAGAGCCAGGAAAACAAGAGGTGGATCTACAGCAGTGATATTTTGTGCCACTTGCAGAGTCAGCCATAGAGGGAGGGTGTAGCACTGCCAAGGATATGTGCGTGGATGGAGGGCAGTGTGTCCAGCTCCTAGTGTGCAAATCTAGACATACTGGTACTTAAACATGATTGGCTTTAACAGACTTGTAAGAAAACGCAGCATGGCTCCTTTCCAAACAGCAGACATTTGCTGTGGTGTAGTTGCCCAAGACAGTCTGATTTTCTACATTGCTGTGCACAGTCTTCTAGCCAGTGGTGGCTCTGTGTTGGTAAAACATGGAAATAAATTGCTTGGTTTTGTAAAGGACCTGAGGGGGTGAAAATATAGGCATATTTTGACTTATAATTAATTATTACCAGAATAGGAAGTAGCCACATGAAGAGCGATAAAAATTAGATGGAAAACTAGATGTTGCTGACCCTTTTTTTTTTTTTTTTGACAAGTTCACTCACTGTTGCTTTAACCAGCAATGCTGGTACAGCAAGAGGATTTCTAATCAGTCACTATTGCATGATTGTTTAATTTTAATAGGCGTGATCAATACCATCCATTCCGCCTTTAAACGCTAATGAACACTTTAATACAACAGATGTAGACAGACAGTACATTGCAGATTAAAATTAGTCACAGCATTAAATTGCTTACGAACAGTAGAGGAATCCTCCTGGACATCTTGACAATCAACCATGGGCAGCTGATAAATCTTGACTTCTTCAGTAAACCATGGCCAGGTGCTGGGTTACTAACTAGCTTTCAACCAGTTTGAAGCCACAAGAAAGCAGCAAGCTTTGTTATCACGGAGTTTTACATGCAGCTCTGTTCACTTCCAGGTAAACCTTCTTACTATTTTTCTGCTCTTAACTGCTGTCAGAGGAAAAGGTGCTTAAATGACAGAGATCCAATTCCTGACACCTGGTATCAGTTGCGTCCTGCTCCATTGGTTTTGGTGGACCCTGTTCTGAATTCAAGCAATGTGAGTCCCAGTTCACTCTGGTAGGTATTGGGAAACTCACCACGGGGCTGAGCCCTCACTAGGGCTGGTGAGAATCAGAGAGAAAAGAGCTGCATGTACCCCCAGAAGTGGCCTTTGTGTGGAGCAGGGAATTTACATGTTCTTTTGAACATCCAGCAATGGGGGCTATGGTGATGGAGGTCACTGAGAGGGTGATGGGCCAGCAGCTCCTCCAGCATCACGCACAACTGCATGCCAGCAAGCACTGCTCGGCATGGATGGTATGCAGCACCTTGTTCAAAGGCATATGTAATTTACAGTTTCTTGGATTTCAGAGGGTACCCTGCATTGCTTTGTGTTCAGCTTCTTTTATGTGTTTTTTCCTTTTTTTTCCCCCTCTTGCACCTTGGGAAACCCTAACCTTTTTTTTTTATTATTTTTTTCCTTTTTAATTGTATGAAATCAGCTTGGAGTGAAAAGGCCAAGAAGAAACTTTCTGATGACAAGTGAGTCTACAGCTGTGTCTTTGTTCTCAGTAGAGCTAAAGACCACATTAATCAGAAACTTTGCTGACCTTGTCTTTACTACCTGAAGACTGAAAGACAAAAGCGACACAGTCTGGCCACATTTAAAAATTCAATTAAAGAATGCCTGCTGCCCAAGGATAAACATTGTCATAGACCTCAGTGGGGTTGGATGTAACTATGATAAAGGCAATGCCTTTTTCTCCCTCTCTGTTTATTTTTCCCCCAAAAAGAATAAAGCCTAGTTTTTGTTTCTCCTTCTGACTAAGACATTGTGTATGTGACAGTGTGCTTTAGTGGTGCCAGGTAGCTGGTGTTGGAGCTTTTAGTAAAGAGCCAGGTGGGAAATTCCTAAGAGGGATGGCAAGCTGGAATTGGAGAAGGGAAGCTACTAGAGTGGACCTGGAGAAAAATCTCCCTGCATTCCTATTTCTTCAGACTATGTTGGTCTGATAAAAATACTACCTCTTCCTACAGCCCTGGCAGAAGCAGAATGAAGAAGGGGTGAAGAGACCCTGCTCAGAGCCCGGCTCGGTGTCCAGAGAGCCAGGCGAGGCGAGGGGAGACGTAGCTCCTTCCCTAAGATGAAACAGAGAGCCTTTCGTTATGGCACCCGACTGTGCCTTACTGATTTTATTATTGAAATATTAAGCAAATCAGTGGATATCCAGTCAACTGAGAACACGAGCAGCCAAAGAGAGGAGAGAAAACCAGACAAAATCCCTCGGCGTTGGTAGTGGGAGCCACTGACTGTGACACAGGGAGAGGTGGGCAGCTCTCCCCTCCCACTGGCAGGCCCTGGGCTGCACCAGCCAGCGAAGGAGATGGCATCCCGGCTTCGCTGCGGCAAATTAAATAGGAGCGGTAATATCTTCTCTAGGTTGAACGTTCAGTTAAACAAAGGGCAGATTCCTTCCTCAGAACGTCCTCCGGCCCCGCCAGCTTCCCCTGGGCCTCTCCTTCCCCGGCTTGCCTGCGGTCTGCCTGTGGGGCTTCTTTGCATGCTGCACCTTTACCCACCCACCCTCAGTGACTCTGCTCTCCCCTTCGCCCCTCCTGGGCTCGCTCTCACCCTGTGGCGGCATGCCGGGGATGGCCTTGGGCTGGGGAGGGCTGCGGGGGTACCTGCGGTGCTGAGAGGCCGGGGTGCTCGCTGGCGAGGAAGTCCTGTAGGCTCTTCCCGAGTGCCGGGGGGACACTGGGGACCGCCCGTCCGAGGAGCTGCGCGAGTTCCCGCTGTGCGAGGTGTTTCTGCCTTGGCCGGCAGACCTGTCCCTCTCTGAAGGGGTGTCAGAGGCCGTGCTGGAGGTGCTGCTGCCCTTCGAGTTCAGGTGCAGATTTGAGAGGTTTCTCACGAAACTGTGCGAGAGGGGAGAGGAGTTTCTGGAGTGGCTGATGGATGTGAACTGGTAAGTGACGGGACCGCGCATCCTCCTCACAGCAGCGGCGTAGGAGTCCTGGCTGTGAAGGTAGGGCAGGTAGTGCGTGACGGTGGTCGGGCTGTGGGGGTGTCCATGCTGGAGAGAAATGGCTTTTGCTATTTGGTGCATCCGCAGCGTCTGCATCCACTGGCTGTCAATGCCTGGCAGGGAAATGGAAGCAGGGTCAGCTTTCTGTGAATTGATAGAAAACCGCTCGCTGCTTTACCAAAGGGGTGAAGTTAGGGTTTCTCTCTGAAGAACCTCAACATAACTCAAACCACCCTCCCTCCCAGCCTTGTGGCAAATAGTCCTAGTTTTGAGTGTGTGCAACATTATGGTTGAACATAATGTTGGACTTTTAAAATAGAAAGTGATGCAAATATTTCTGATGCCAATGCAGATTATGGAGCTTAGACTAGAAGACAATGAACCATCCATTTGGCTGCTCAGGTGGGTTCCCACTCCCAAGTGCCTCCTATTATGTTTAACCCAACTTGGTTTTAAGCATTTCCTGTGATGCTCTGGGCAGCCTTAGCCGATTTCTCCACAGCTTTTATTGTAAAAGAGTCTGGAGACCTCCAGAGCACATGTGGAGGCAGCACCCCAAGGCACCGGCACCACCGCAGTATCGCCCCCCACCGCGTCTCTCCCAGCTGGTACGGTCACACTGTTCACAGCCAAGCACAGAGACAGAGGCAGTGCAGATCCCAGTGCAAATCCCTGCTGCGACAGCCAGACTCACCTCCTCTAGCTCCATTTTCTCTTCTAACTGCTACACACTACAACAGCCAGAGCCATTTCAGTTATTATTGCTACAAATTCAGAAGCCAATCCACTTTGCATACTCCAGACACTGACTCTAAGCCCCAGCTACACTCCTCCGTCCAGCTTCATGCAGGAAATCCAACTCTGTATATGGAAAAGCCAGTGAGGCAGCAGGCTTCAGCCAAGATAGCTCTGACAGTGCTTAACATGAATGTATTACAGCTACCTCACACCTACTGTCACATCCTTGGGATGTAACAAAAGCTGTAGCTCCCAGAGATCAGACTGAAGTGCTTTTGAAAGACAGTTCTGTGGTTTACATTAAAGTCGATAGCAAATACAATAGTTGTAAATTTCCCATTTGAACTGCAAGGGCTGCCCGGTTTGCTACTTTATGGGTCGAGCAGAGACCAGGAATTCCTCTTATCTGAGGCCATAGCTCTGGCCAAAAACCCATAGGGAACAGCTTAAATAATTTTGCTGTAGAGAGGTTTGAATGATTTGTCCTTAAAGATTGCTAGTATCATTCCAACAGGAGAGCATAACCCCGCCAGCTTGCAGTAGGATAAATGTGACTGAAATGCTATTATTGTCAGCAGAGGACCCCAGCTCCTCTCTTGCCTTTTCCTGGTTTTTCAGGGAAAGACTTCCTATGCTGTGGGCCATCTGCCCCTTGCTGCAATGTTGCATCTGCCGTGGGGAGTTCTGTGGGAGCTGGGTAGCAGCTCTGTCCTTATTAGGATTTCTCCTGTTAAGATGTAATGGATGGTCTCTTCTATTCCTCCTTTTCCCAGACTTTGCTTGAATCCCAAGAGATTTAAAAAACTTCAACTTAATGTCAAATATGTCAAAAGGAAACTGTCTTTCCTGTCAAAATGTGAGTGTGATGCTGCCACAGCAGATAGCTCTGGCTGCACTGAGAGATGAACCTCCTTTCATGGAAAGACAGATGGGAATTGCCTTCTCTGCTTCTTAACCTCCTTGAAAGTCACAGTTTCAAAATAAACATACATGCTGAAACATACTTTCTAGACACCATCTCCTCTACTATTCCCTTGTGCCCTCCTATCAAGGCTGTGGATGTAAAACACAAACCTGGAAGTAGCAGGCTCAGGACTTTACGTCTTTGTGTGTTATCAACTCTCAGGTGGCCACCATGCAGAGCCAATCTGCAGTGAAGATGTATCTTTTAGGACATGCTCTAAATTACAAAACACAGTTGTGTTGCAAATGCATCACAATTGCTTAGGAATAAGAGCACCCATTTTAGATGTGTCTGTAGTCTAAACCCAGCACCTCTCAATTCATGAGGCTGCTCTTCTACACTTGGCAGGAGTGCTACATCATGGAAGTTCACTCTCTGCTGACTGGTATCTTGTTCCAGCTCCTGTGCTACCCCTCAGCTGTACCAACCCAAACATTTCTGCAGACATGCTATGAAGTCAATCAGAAAAACAGTTTTGGCTAACAAACACCTTTACAAAAAGAACACCACATCCTAAAGGCAAAACTGTGCTAGAGTCAACTGAGTTGCGTTGGACTATGTCAGTGGTGTACTTTAGTTAGGAAGTTAAGACTGCACTGTAGAGCGCACTGTATTATTAAATGTACTTCACTGAACAAGTCAAGCCCCAAAAGCCATAACAAACATTGTTCTAGAAGCCAGACAACGATGATCCAGGACTGGCCTGAATGGGCAGGCTGAGCTGTGGAAGAAGAGTGCAGTGGGAAGATTTCCACTCTCCTCGCAGCAGAGCGGGCCATCAGGAGTGCCTATGGGATCTGCCAGGCTTGCAGCACAGACCTGTCAAAACAGTGTAGTGCTCACAGGGGACTCTTTGCCACCACACATGCAGCTTCTGAGGCTACAGCCTTGGTTTGTGTGTCCCCCCTGCAAGAGCACTGGCCAGAGCAAGAGCAATTTGCACCCACACATACCTTCCAGGAGGTGCTCTGTATCTGAGCACAACATCTGTGCAAAGCTGCCTGTGTGCTGGGTAGCCAAGAGCTACCCAGAGGAAATGGCTGGCCAAAGCACTCCTGCTGAGTTTGTCTTGCAGGGAGAGAGAGCCAGGATAAAAGCTGCTGAAAGCACTGGCCCCTAAAATCCTCAAAACAACTGTTTATTCCCAACAGATCGAGGGTAGAGATGTGTGAGATTGTCTCCTTTCCCAGCAGATGCCTTACTGACATTCTGGTTGAGAAACACATCTTCACTCCAGGCCCTGCACGCTTTGTGTGGACGCTATAATTCAGTCCAAATCCTTTTGCTATCCACTCCACAAAGCTGAGTGCTCTCTTGTCTTGGCAAAGAGGGGAGGATTTGGAGGAGGAGGGTAGATTTGCCAGCTGAGTCCCCGATCCAGCGTCCACAAGCAGACTCTGGAGAAGAGCGGGCCTGCCATTGTGGAAAGGCTACCGTGGATGTGTACACATGTGCCAACAGAGAGGGGAAGAAGCCTGGACCATAGGCAAAAACACCTCTCCCAGTGACCATCTACACTGGGGAAGATTGAAAGGTTGACCCAAAGCCGACCCAAGGAAGGCGCTGAAAAAGTGTCAGGATTTAAGGCTGCTTACTGCTGGAAGATTATGAAGCATTCAGGGTTTTGGAATAGAAGGATCTGAGTTCTATGTCTGCTGTTGGTGTGCAACTGCAAGTGACTTAACAGTAGATTAAAGATTTGTAGCTAATTGCCATGGACCGTTTCCAGCATGCTTCCTATAGGAGCATACAGGTCATCCCCCATTGTGATATAAAACATTTTACAACCCAAAGTCTAGCCTTTAAGTTAAGTCAGACATGCCAGGGTGCTCCTGCATGCATCAATGGAGACATCACAGGGACCACAATGCCAGCTGACACTGCAACATGTGCTCCACTGTTGGAACAGGATAATGGCATTGACTTTTTGCCGTTCTCCCCATATACACCTTGCCCATCTCAGTAATAAAGTTCGCGTGTACTGACTTACTTGAGTCGGATCTGCTCCGTGAATTCCCCTCCGAGTTGGGGAGTGATGTCTGTATCATCAGCTGTACTGTCTCGACCTCATCCTGTGCTTTCACCTTGCTCCAGCTGATAGCTTGGATGTGCCTAGTGGTTTTGGGAGCTCTAACATCACTCTGTTCAGGAAGGACACAACATGTATGAGGACATAACGCACATGAGGACATAACAACACACAACCCACTAAGCTCTCCTACGAGGAAACTTCCACTGGTGCCTGAGTGGCAGCAGCTTTTTGCAAAATCACTTAGCTGGTTCTCAAGTATTTTTATATCCTAGATAATTTTGGCTGGTATTTTGTGATTATGCTAAAAATGTGGTAGTGAATAATTAATAGTTTCAATTCATGTAACATGTGAAGGAAAGATCTGAAAGGCTTCCTCTACAAACACAAAAATATATTTTACTAGTTATATTAATATGAGCATCAAATGGGCAGTGCTTTCTGCTAAAAGAAGTAGGACTAAGCAGGTATTTTTGCAAGGGGACCCTCCACAAAACTTGCTTGGAGAATCAAGCTCTTCAATTGCTGTTAAGTGCCTATGACTCCTGTGAGAAATTTCAGGCTGAAAGAAAACTACTGTTCTTCACTTCTGAGACAGGCAAGCAAGGTCCAGGGTTTCCCTGTCTCTCCATCACTGCTTGAATCCGTGCTCAAGACAGAGCTGGAATCACAATTATTAGCCTCCTTGTGAATACACAGCATTGGTCTTTATAAAAACACTTTTGTAAGTAACTACAAACACTTTTTACAAAGGATAATTTCTATCACATTAAATTGTCTTCCAGGCTTTATTTTATCTTATTTTACTCTTCTTTTTTTTCTTCTCCTGTTGCTTTGCAGCTCTCCTAATTAGCACTTAATTGAAAAGGTAAAAAACACAGTCTCTTCAAGTAATGCAAACAATACTGACCATTACACTTCAAGCAAAAGGAGTTTTCATCCTTGAGAAAAAGGCAGCAGTCCGAGGACATTGTCTCTGTAAACTTAATTCAGCTTTTGCTCTGAACTTTAGATTTTACAATTAATTACAGGCTGCTGATAATTGATTATAGGATATAACAAAGCCAGAGGATGCTATTTCCACACTTCCCATGTAGATTTTATCTTGGATAAATAATTTTTTAATTTGTTTCTTAGAGCTTACCTCATATGTAACAACACATTCTACAGACTGGTGTTCTTCTATCCCCACAATCCATTTCTCCATTACAAACGGCGGCTGAAAAAAACATGGTGGGAGTTTTATAAGGTGCTCTTCATCTCCTGACTTGTTTCTGAAACATCCCAAAGATATTTTCAACATTCGCCTTTTTTCATCTGCTTCTATATTGTTCACATCAATACTTTTCTTAAAATCTTATGAGCCAAAGCAATATATTTTGGAATTATTTACTTCCTTGTTTACAAAAGGAAACAGAGAAGAGATTTCTATAAATAACAGACAGTAGGTAAAACAACATGGAATGTTTTAATGGGGAGATAAATCTTTTTCATTTTTGTGCATGTACAGCTTTTTTCTGCTAGACTTACAGAGGCGAGTAAGAAAATATCTAGAGAGTCTCTGACATATAAAAATGTTGAAGTATGTGAAAAGTTACTGTTATTGTATCTGGTTATTAGCTTATTTAACTTTAAGCCTTTTTTAAGGAAAAAATCAAAATATACAAGATTAAAATTAAACAGAAAACTATTTGCAACATAATATTAATATTAATAATAATTATTATCATCATCATTTTTTAATTATTATTATTTAAATCACAAGTGTTGTTCCACAAATCACTAACTATAAAAATAGTATTAGCATGAATTAAATATGAGAATCCTTTTTGGCAAATACTCATATTTTTACATTTTCCTTTAAATTCTGACTGTTGAAAATCTGACTTTCAGTTTTTCTCTAGAAAAAACAACCTGCAAAATTTTATCCAAAAAATTCACAGTTAAAAGCATTCAGAAGCTTGGGGATTTTTATCAGCACACATTAGAGCATCATTCTAACTGGTAATCAAGCTGTATATTTTTTCATTTAGAAATTTATTTTGTTAGCTATTATCAAGTGGAGCATATTAATAAAAACAATCAATTAAAATAACAGCAAACAGAATGCCCTCCGCATTAACAAAGCTTCTGTTGGTTATGGTAAAAGTAGTCTAAATACTTGCTGGTAAATATCTATAGGCAGGTTCTGAAATAAGGTAAAATGCCCAGAGACGCCGAATTGCAGATGTTCAGTGCTTTACTGTCTGTTGATGGGTTTCAGTCTTTGAAACGCATTGTTGCATGAAAGAGGGAGTTTTAGAACCATGTAAAAGTTCTAAAACCATGTCAAGAAAAAAAAAGAAAGAGAGAAAAAAAAACCCCAGGCAAATCACATGAAGTTTCAAAATGGAACATTTAAATTACTTTCTTCTCTTGAAAAGGAAAGTAATTTTTTGAACATTCTTTTCTTTAAAAGGGGTAATAAATTCAGAGGATATAACATGGAATTAAAACAAGAAAATATAAATTAGTTCCCTCTCTTATTTTTCTATTGTTAACATTATTGTCAGCTTAAAAGAGAACCAAAATACCTAACTCCTATTATGATACAAATCTGTTTAAAATGTGCATTTTATTTAAAAGCTGTCAAGAGCTCGAGCTTCCGCAAGCACAAAAGTCGACTGCTGTGGTATTTTAATGTCTTTGTTTGAGATCTGTGAATTTGTGAAAGCTTTAAGGCTGTAAATACCTTTGTCATCTTTAAAATCTCTACATCAGGTAGGTTAGTGTTGAATGTCACATCCTTTATGTAGGTTATTGCAATTTCATCACCGTCCATCTCCATGTACATTTTCCATTTACAATCCTATGAATAATAAAAAAAGAATGCTAGATTGTTAGAATACAGATTAAAAAAAAACAAAATGAAACAAAACCAAAAGCCAAAACAACCCAAAGCCTAATCCTCAATATATGGAGGAAAAAAATAACCCAATGATGAAGATAAGGAACATATACATCTTTTAGGATATGCATGTTTTCCAGTAAAATTGTTGATAATGGAAAATGCTTGGGTTCTCCTGTTTGCTCTCTTGTTGTCTCACCCTGAGAGACAGTTGCCACATTGACAGGTCAAGATGTCTTCAGAGGCATGGATCCCCTGAAGGGCCCCAGGAGGATGGTGGCTTCACCCACAGGGACGGCCAGCCCCTTTGAGCGGGCGGCGCGGGGGCTCTGCACACCTGCGTGGCAGTGCAGGCACAGGGCAGCGGTGGGAGCCAGCACCCGGGGTCACAGCCAGTGCTGGCAGCCAGCCCCAAGGACATCTTCCTGGTGAACCCAGGAACAAATGACCAGAGGATTTGTGAAACACTGTTAAGACAGTCGCTCAAATAATGGGCAAGAGGATGAGCTGGTTATTACAGCTCAATTATTTCAGATACTGAGTGCCCAGGGGGGGCACTGAGCATCCTCAACTTCCACTCACCTCCAGTTGCACTATTAATTATAAGCAAGCTTAGCTTAGAAAGTAACCATAGTGAGTCTAAGAGACTAAAGCAATGAAAGGTATCCTTAAATAATCCCATGAGCTGTACATGGGGCCAACATTCAACACTTTGCACAGGTGTGAGGCTGCAAGAGGCTGACAGCTCTGGCAGCATCTTGCAGGACATCCTGCGCAGGCTGACTGCTGGGACCAGGGTCTGTGCCTGTGGCCAGGGTGGCTCCTGCTGGTGACCAGAGACTGCCTGTCCATGGTGCAAACCAGCCAACATTTTCTGGTGTGCCCAGCAGGTGCTTTGGGTATTAGATACCGTCTGGTGCACTGGTCTCCTCCAAAAATCAGTCCCCTGAGGGACAACAGGGCTGCAGTGAAGTGGAGTGTCTCTGTCTCTGTGCAAGTAGGAGGGGATCTGCCCTTCACAGAGACACGAGCTCCTCCAGATGTGCCAGGGATTCAGTAGGGTCTGTGACCACCGCATGCTGCCGTCTGGGCAGGTGTGGTCTCAGCATTTGCAGAAGGCAGTCTCCTCTTCAGTTCTGCTCAGAAAATGCAAAAACTTTCAGTGAGGACACAGATGGCCGCTTAGGGCCGAGGGCTTGCGTAAGCAGTTATTTGCACACACAAACGTACAGCAGACTAAAAAGTATCCGTTCACACATGCGATTATCTGCTAGTGTTTGCACGTGCGTCTCATAAATGTAACGTAGGAGCTCAGCCCTCAGAAGTCTCAAAGCTTTCAATCAGGCATTGAATTGGCAATTCCAAGATAAAAGAAAACTGGCGTATAATCATTTCCGAACTGCAACAACAAATTATGCTTATGAAAGCATTTGGCCCTGTGTGTCCATCTGTCCCCATTGAAAGCTCCTGCATTTTATGAGCAGAGTGGACGTGCGAGTTGGTTTCCACATCACCCCCAGTGCGAGTGTGAGTGATGGGAACTGTGGCTGAGCAGCCAGGGCACTGGTCCGAGACCCAGAGGCACTGAGTTCCATTTCCAGTTCTGCCATCGGCTTCCTGTGCAACCTGATAAGGTGCCGAAGTTGCACTGTGCCTCCGTTTCCTAATAATGAACTGCATCTCTCTGCACGTCCTTTTCCTGTCCTGCTTTCTTGGCTTGTGAGCTAACCCAGGGTTACACCTGTCTCTTCCAGGTAGGTACAGTGCGACACATCGGCCCTGACGTCGGCTGAGTACCCTACGTGCTATGCAACTGAACAGCAACAGCGAAGCAAGTTGTCTTTGACTCCTCCTCACCTCTCAAACTATGCTCCTCTCCCTGCCCACACTGTCCTTATTGACAGATGTTTTTGCAGGACTTCCTAAATTCATGCCACCTGGATTCCCTATTGCAGATCACATCCAAGGCTAGAGACAAGATGCTTGATGACATTTATAAGTTTTACAAAAAAATCTGAGCCAAGGAAAGAACATCGACATAAAATACTATCCTCCAGTTAATTCAGCGCATCTCCTGCCGTAACACCAGCGCCAAGCATCTGAGAGACAGGGCCGCACCTTGTGCCAGGGCTTCTGTGCCTTCACAACTCACGATTTTGTTCAGACCTGATCTGACAAACGTGAGCTCGTTTTAATAAACAACGTAAATCAAACGACCATCTGTAAAGAAAAGGCGGACAAGCTGTGTAAATCCAGGGTCTGGCAGGCGGTGGGCACCTGCCAGCGCCCGGCCCCTCGCCGGATCCACCGTGCACGCAGGAGCCCTCTCCGTGCAGTAACGAATCAGGCTGCCCCACGCAGCTGTGGATGCACAAACACCGCCTTCCCCAGCTCCAAACCGCAGCTTCAGAGAAAGAAAGACACTCTCCCGTCCTTCAAATCCAGCCCCCAAACCTCCGTTCCTCCTTGGAGTCCTCTCTAGATACCAAAAGAACAAATTACCACACTAAGCATAGCCTTTCTCGTTACAAAAAAATGTGTCTCATTTTATTTGGAATGGTTTTCGTTTTGTGTTATTGTAAAATCATCAGTAGAAAGGGGAAAGAGAGAAGGACTGAGAAATAAAGAGAGGAGAAAAAGGGAAGGAGACGCTGAGAGAAAAAAGAGAAAAGAAAGAAAGAACAGAAAGAAAGAGAGAAGGAAGGAAGGAAAAGGAAGGGGAGAGGACAGCAGCTAGGTGACTTTTGAATCAAGGCATTTGGGAAATACCTAAGTAGGTGGCTACTTGTCTTACAAACTTGATAAACATTTTGTTCAACCGCACACTGTAAATAATGTGAGATTTGTGTGCTGCAGAAAGGGACATATTTCCCTGTTTTCCAGTTGAGTTCTAGGTTCTTACTTAGCAATAAATAGGAGAGATGCTCAGCAACTTAAGCAAAAATTTGGCTAGAATAACCAAGTGTATGTATTTCAATTCTTTGATGAATTGGAGCCATAAGATTTCTTGGATTAAGATGATGTTTAGTGCCAGACATATGTGGGAAAATAATCTGGAAAGAGCTTGTTCAAAATGTCTGGTTGATAAATATACTTACACAAGTCCTTCAAAGAGATTTCTCTGGACATTTTGTAATTCAAGCATTAAAATATCTCCCAATATTTACCTGCTCAATTTTTCATTTCAGCTTTTTGTTTTTTAAAAAATATCTAGTTTCAGAACTGAGAGGCACAACCAGCAAAACTTTGCGTGAAAAACATTTCCAAATAAGACTTTGACAAAGCAAATACATCAGCAGCCACTGCAAATTACTGTAGAAAAGAAAAGCAAATCACACATGTATTTTGAGCTGCTTCTACCCAGCTTTGAAACAGAAAATAAGAACATTTTAAAAATTAAGTATCTAGCTTACTGTGGTGACAATACTCCTTTAACCCCATATGCACTAACATCTGCAACAAAAACTGAAAGGGAAATGAAAAAGATCAGGCGCAGGCTTTAAACAACAAACATGTCTCCTGCAACAACAGCTTAAAACTTGCTGGGGAGACGCCTCATTTTCCAAGGAGGCCCAAATCCAGGATTCATTTTAAAATCAGTGGTCGCAACAAACTTTTTTTTTTTTTTTTTTAAGATTGAAGAAAAAATTGAAACAGCATTGTAGCAGGCAACTGGATATTAGAAGAAAAGTAAGATATAATGCAAGATGAAACAAATATGAAAAAAATGTTGGTCATGCTGGTACTAAAAGTAGTAGCATGTTGATAATTTAGGTCCCAGAAGCTCCTTTACATTCTTAGCTATTATCTATCTCAGCTGCTGAAACCTGCTGTTTTAAAGGCATTAGACTTGAACATCTAGTGACAGCACTTGGGTTATTTATCATTATGTATCACCCTGCTACACTATGTTTTATTATTCTGGATTTAAAGGAAGATAACACAATTATGGTTAATTTGCTTCTCTTCTTTATATATATAGTGTCATGACCCACCACGGCTTTGTCCCATGAGATATTTTTAACCAAAAAGAAATCCACAAGAAACTCTCCCTAAAAATTCCATTAATAACCTCTTGTAGCGTGTATAGGTTGCAGGGTCTGGAACTAAGAATGTTTTAATCTCTTCAGCAAAACAATGTCTCATAATGATGTACAGGACTATTGCTGCACTGATGAAGAATCATACATAATTCAGCACCTTTCACTTGGCACCACTGTGATATCCTCATTAGCAGTGGCTCACAGTGGCTGTCAGATGGTGTCCATGCGAATGCAGGCATTATATTGTCTTTGAGATGTGCAGCTGCTTCCATGACACTGCCAGTATATAAAAACATGACGCCAGTTTGTTTTATTTAGTGCTAAACCTTCCAGTTTGTAAAAACAAGGCTGACACAGAGCCTGACATGAGGCAGTGAAAATAATTAGCTCTCATTTTCTCAGCCTCCTATTTCCTTCTCCCCGCTGTGTTCTCTTTCCACTAAACCACCACATGTCAGTCGAAATGGGAGGCAATTAGTGGGCTCATTTCAGTCCCCACAACTGTGCTGAAAAGAAAGTATTTATGATGGCACAATGAACAGCTGAAAGATTAAATAACATTTGCCTTTTGAAAAGAAAATGACTTCTAGCTAAATGGGCAATTTTTGATTATTCTCAAACAAGCTTAGAGTAGTTGGTTTTTAAAATACAAGAAAGGAAAATGAGTCATTTTTAGGTGAAAGAATCAAATAAAACTTGACACAGTAATGCAAATAACTGATGTTTTATTGCAAAATATGTAAATGTGTTATACCCTTAACAATGGCTGGTGTCTCAGGTCAGGGCAGGCTGTTGCCAGCCAGGCTGCAGCGAGAGAAGGTGGCTCCACCGCCGGTTTTGTTTCAGCTGTGCAGGCAGAAAAAAACAGGGGCGGAGGGGAGGCCTTCCAAGAGAGATGGTCTTAAAACGTACAGAAAC